GGTATTAAAAAAAAAAAAAAAAGCTACAATAATTTTGGAAAATGTTAATTTGGTTAAGAAAAACTAGTGTCTAATGAAGAGGAGTTCCTGAAGCTTAGCAAGAATGGCGAGAGGCTTGGGACTGCTGGAAGCACTACATCACATGCAACAGCCTGGTGAGAATGACAACAATCTAGGAAGGTTACTACCCAAATTCTGCTCATTACCTATTTTTTTTTTATTTTACTTTTTTTTTTTTTGTAAATGTGCTCTTCCTGACACTCTTTCTATTTCTCTGAAGATGTGTAACCAAATAAAAGCACTCAGGTATTCCTGTATTTTTTTTATGCTTACACATACATACATACACACACGTAAAAAAAAAAAAACTTATTATACTATACAGTCTGTGCAAAAAGTTATGACTGACCGCAGGACAAACTTTTGGTCAGTGAAACATAAGGCAATAGACTGTTGAAGTGTGGACTTTGTAGAAATTTTGGAAACAACTGAGACACAAATAGAGAGAGAGAGAGACTCGTGCAGCTTTATGAGTGGCTTATCCACCATTGGGTCAAACTCTGCACTCTGTTCACTAAAGCTCAGATAATGGTGTATTGGATGGATAATAATGTTAGAAGAGAACAAAACACTGTCCTCTTCTAACATTACTATCACTCACATACATCTGAGCTTCACCGAATGCAGTAGGGCCCCGCCTTATGGCGCTACGCTAACATGGCAATTTCAAATTACTGTGACCAAAACTTGCTATACGGCTCCCGGTCTTTCTAATATGGCACGCCCTACCTGATTTGTTTACATTCTCTGTGAGCACATCTCTATGTCTGGAAACATTCCAAAATTTCAAGTGTTTTAAAGTTACTGCATATTTTATATGTACTCTGATAATTATACTTATGTGTACCTGTACCTAAATATACTTACACACTGTGCTGGCATGTAGGTACACATTAAAATCACTAAGTCTCTCTCTATTCTTGATGCCACATTAACAATAATACGTAATCTCTTGGGCATTAAATGTCGTATATTACTTCAATATAAACATTTCCATTAATCCATCTATGATACTTTTTTCAACATTATATAATAAACATGCTACATAACATATAAACATGATAAATACACCCCACCCTTAGTTAATCTTAAGTTAATTTTAAGCCTGCCCATAATGCTCTGCATACAAGGGGCTTTGGCATGCTGCACTTTAAAAATTGTATTCCTTGTGTACTTCTCTGTATCATGTTCAAATTAATAAATAAATAAATAAATAAATATGATAGTCAGGCAACTTGTAGTCCAACATCAGAGAAAATGTCACTATAATATTACTGGGTAACTAGAAAATTATTCCTTTCGTATGCCTTCACTCAGAGAATCATTTCCTCTAAAAATGGTGTTACATGAGAACGGGAGTGTTTCTCTTTATTTATTCTACTGTATCAACATGGAGACAACTTGTACACAATGTCAAGTGTTTGTATTACAGTATAATACAAACATGTATGAATGAAAACCAGACACGTTTGCCTGGTTTGTTTACATTACATGTGGGTGGGGTGGGGCAGGGAGGATTGCCCCGACTGGCTACCATACTTCCCAAACATGACATCCTACAAATAAAACTCACCTCTCACCCTACATTAAGACTACAAATATTTTAAGGTAATTAATGAATGTACTGTACAGTGGAACCTTGGTTTTCGTTTGCCCTGGTTTTTGTTGAATTTGGTTTTTGACGACTTTTTTCGTCAAAATATTGTCCCAGCTTTCGTTTGTCACCTTGGTTTTCATCCGCTGTACTGAATGTGTCCACATGCCTGCACCCATACAAAGTATCCCATGCACGCATTCTGAGTCAGTCTGGCTTTGATTCTTGTCGAGTGAACATTACCCTGCAGAATCGTACGAAACATTTCGTAATAATCGATCATTTTTTTTGTGCTTGTTTATTGAGTGTGACTGCTAAATAAGCCATCATGGGGCCAAAGAAAGTTCCAAGTGCCAGCCCTTTGATAAAGAAGGTGAGGAACATGACAGAATTCAAGAAAGAACTTGTAGAAAAGTACGATTAAAAAGCAATTAAGGACATTTGTGCAAAGTGGAGAGAGGTGCAAAGTACTGTGGAGATATATCACCCTAACAAAGCTGTTGCAAGCTGTGTTTGCAACACATTCAGTGACAATGCCATGTCCCATTTTAGGCAAATCTTAAAGAGATGCCGGAAACAGACCTCTCTGGACAGATTTTTTTGTGCGACAGGGGTACAGTGACTCTCAAGCTGGTCCTAGTGCCAGTAAAAGACAAAGAAAGGGAAGTAATCCCAGGTAGGGACTTGACACCTGAAGTCCTTATGGAAGGGGATTCCCCTTCCAAACAAACTCTCCCCCCTCTCCCCTCCTTGCCATCTTCCATATGCCAACAAGTCTCCAATAAAGGTAAAACTGATTTATATGTTCATTTATCCCTTAAAATCAGTGCTTTATATTTATTTCTGATTGTTTTCTGTATGTAAAACTATAGTTATTCTCTATAAAATGTACTTTTTGTTAATATTTTTGGGTGTCTGGAAGGATTAATTGGATTTACATTATTTCTTATGGGAAATATTGCTTTAGTTTTTGTTGAATCTGGTTTTCATCACTCTCTCTGGAACAAATTAAAAATGAAAACTGGGGTTCCACTGTATATGCATTTTATCACTCTGGAGAGTGATAAAATTAAAAGTTGTAATATATAGTGGAACCTCAAATATCGAACTTTCTTCGTTCCAGACGGCTGTTCGAGTGCCGTTACCGAATGAATTTATTCCCATCAGGAATAATGTAAATTAGATTAGTTCATTTCAGACCCTCAAAAATACACTTATAAAAGCACTTACAAAAATACTTACTTAATTGCTTGAGTTGTGAGCAGTTCAATATTTGAGGTTCCACTGTACATATTACGTTTGGGTTGGGTGGGCCGACCTGGCTGGCTTCCATACTTCCCAAACCTGACTTCCTACAAATAAAACTCACCTCTCACCCTACATTAACCCCTTGACTGTTGTAACCCCAAATCCTGAGGCATCTCCTGGTGTCGCAAAATTTCCGAAAAAAACAAAAATTCTTATGAAATGATAGAGAATCTTTTCCCGATTGTAATGACACTAAAAGAATGAAATTTGATGGAAAACTTACGGAATTACACTCTCACGAAGTTAGCGATTCGGCGATACGTATTTATGGATCGGCGATTTCGCCCACTTCGAGCCATATTTTAGGCTAATTCCATTGTTCCAGTCGACCAAACTCATAGCTATTTCTTTAGAACTCCATTTGTTCTATCGATTGAGTACAAGAAACTGCCTATTTACCAATTTCAACTACCCAATAACATGGTCAGAATTTTGAAATTTGGCCAATTTCACAAAAATTAAAAAATATGACAATTTCAAAATAGGGTCCAGAATGAACAATGTAGACATTCCAGGCTCTAAAATAACATTTTTCTTTGTTCATCAGTCACGTCTCCAGGCCCCTCGGATATTACCCTTGCTTCCTATTTTGAATTTTTATTCAAACAAAAAAGAAAAGATTTACTGTTATGCAAATTACTGCAATATAGTAATAATTTTATAAATAATGTCAACCCATTCATGACTGCATATTAGAATGGCTACTTGGGCATTTATTGGAAAATGACATCATTTGTTTACTTTTGAACATCCGCAAAAATCAAACATTCCCCTACTTTGAGCTCCATTTCAAGGTTCTTTTCATAGTAAAACCAATCAAAATCACCTCTATTTCTATAATATGTTTTCCATTCTATCAAATGAGACCAAAAAAACGAGAATAGAACCATAAACACTATACGAAAATAGACCACAAAGTCAGCATTTTAATAACAAAAAAAAAAACAGTCAGAGCTTTTTTTTCTCATTATGCAATGCGTGCTGCAGGATTTTTTTTATATGGTGCACACAGACCCATTCTCTCACATGTGGGCCTACCAGCTTTCTCCTGCTCGATTTGAAGCCGCTGGAATTTGAGTATATCTACTTCAAAATGGTGGCTCGTAAGACGTATATATACAACAGAAACAGTCAAAGGGTTAAGACTACAAATATTTTAGGGTAATTAATGAATATACTGTATACATATTTTATCGCTATGGGGCACTTTAATTAAATGTCGTAGTATATTACGAGTGGGTGGGGTGGGCTGACCTGGCTGGCTACCATACCTCCCAAACCTGACTTCTTACAAATAAAACACCTCTCGCCCTACACTAAGACTACAAATATTTTAAGGTAAGTAATGAGTGTACTATTTGTGTATTTTACTTTTTATTATATTTAATGCCTAGTTCTATTGCTAACTTAATATATGTTAGTGTAAACTTGTTATCTGGCACTTTTATGCATTTGTAAGTGGAAAAAAATGGTGTTCTGCTTTCCAGCAGTAGCCAGAAACCTAACCTGCCTATAAGTGGGGCCCTACTATATAGTGCAGAGCTCAACCCAACGGTGAATGAGACCACCCTTGAAGCTGCGTGGCCCCACTTGTAGCAGGTGTATGAAAGTCCAAACTGCAACCATCTGTTGCTATACATTTCAATGATCAATAGCTTTTCCACACAGACTGTACAAGGGCTACAGATGAAGAAAATTCAATGCGGTACCCGTGCTGAACCTTCTGTAACTTAATGAATTTTTAGTATGATGTATTAGATCAAATAAAACATAATCAAAAGGTCACAAACCTCTATTTCTATAATTAGAACAATTATTTTTTCAAGAGGCTGCAAGTATTCCTGTAGTACCACCCTACATAAACTTACTAAAGGCAAGATACTTACTCAGGCTCAGCATAAACTTCCTCTATAACAAGGAAAGTACACTAAGTTGAATACTGCCTAAAATGTTTAAAACAAGTTGGTGCATAAAGCAGTGATAGCAGTTTTACTACAAGATATACAGTAGTGGCAAATCTTAAGGTACATTGCCTTACCTTGTACTTGAGGATAGTGTGGAGGCCCTTAAGCCAGTCAGAGATAGAGATGGAGGGAAGAGGGGAAGCAGAGTCTTGATTTTGAAGGCTAGCTGCAGTGCTTGTGACACTCGGCAGCAATGGCAAGGCAGTGTTGCACAGGGCCTCACACAGTGGACACAAATACTCTAGCTTCTCTATGTCGAAGCTCAGATTTTGACGGAAACTAAAAAAAAAAGTGCAAACAAGGTAAATTATAAGCCTTTACTCAAAATTCAGACATGCACAATCTAATTTGCTTATTCTAATAATGGAAGTATGACAGAAATAATGAATTATCAATTTGCTGAATAATATTTACAAAATGAGAAATAATTATGATTATACAGTGTACCATAAGGTAGATGCTGCTTAATAACACTGATGACAACCACGTGAACAACTGAAAAGACCATGTTAAGCTGACCATCACCTCATTATGTTAGATAGTAATAAGGTGAATAACGCTTTATGGATAATAAATAATATCAGCAGTATGAACAAGGTTAACTAATGTAGGGATATCTGTCATAAGCCTAACCACTTTTTTCACACATTTCACCACGTCATACCAGTGTACCAATGTAAATTCTTCATAAAACTTAGCTCCAGAAAGATCAGAGGTATTATCTCTTTATTTATTTATTTATTTATTTAATGTCTTTGCAAACAGTACATTGAGATTGTGTATAAATAGTGGGTTGCAATGCAAAGAGAGCCTCTATTATGCCTTGGCATTATGGGCCAACTTAACATTATTGGCTTACATTCTACTTAATATTAAGGAGTAGTATAACATAGTTGTACAGTAGGAAAGTAATTATTTCATAGTTGTACAGTAGAATATTAATTATAAATGAATCAAAATTTGTATAATACAAAGATATATGTAGTATTTATATTCTAAAATGCTTTTGTGAAAAACAATGATTCAATTATATTCCTGTCAACAATGGATAAAAGGTTCAATGTGATTGTTTCAGTTATGATGTGGGAGTACATAGGTGAGTAAATGTGTACTGAGTATTTAGCATATAGTCTAGGGTGATTAAGTGGCTTTTGAGAAGTCTTAAATTGATTTTCAGACTGGGTTACTTTAATATCTTCTGGTAATGAATTCCATATTTTGGGGCCCTTTATGTGCATAGAGTTTTTACACAGTGTAATATGGACACGAGGTATATCAAAAAGATCTGCGTCTTGTGTTGTGGTCATGTGTCCTGTTTAGGTTGGTGAGGAAAAGTTTGAGTGAGGGGTTTATACTTGCGCGTATTGTTCTGTGTATGTAGTAGGCACATGAATAAGTATGGATGTTCTTAATGGTAAGCAGATTCAGACTTTTGAAAATTGGTGGAGTATGCTGACAGGAGTGGGAATTTGTTATCATTCTTATTGCTGCCTTTTGCTGGGTTATTAGGGGTTTTAGGTGATTGGATGTTGTTGATCCCCATGCACAAATTCCATATGTGAGATAAGGGTATATGAGTGAATGGTAATGTGCCAGGAGAGCTGATTGTGGAACGTAGTACCTTATCTTTGATAGTATGCCTACAGTCTTGGAGATTTTCTTGGTGATATGTTGTATGCGTGTCCAGAACTTAAGGCTACTGTCAAGGTGGATACCTAGAAATTTTCCCTCTGAGTCTTGTGACTGATGATCCATTTAGCGTAATGTTAATTGGATCATTTGCAGCTTTGTTTCCAAACTGAATGAAATAGGTTTTATCAATGTTCAGGGTAAGTTTGTTAGTCATCATCCAGGCAGATATTTTCTGTAATTCAGCATTGACTGTTTTTGCTAGTATGACTGCATTTGGGTGGGAAAATACATATGTAGTGTCATCTGCAAATAATATCGGTTTGAGTAGCTGTGATGCATTCGGCAGATCATTGATGTAGGTGAGAAAGAGGAGTGGTCCAAGGACGCTTCCTTGTGAGACTCCTACTGTGATTGGTTGGGTGGAGTAGTTTGCATCATTTGCATACACATATTGAGTTCTGTTACTAAGGTATGACTTTAGGTAGTTGAGGGAGTGGCCTCTGATACCATAGTGCATTAATTTGGAGTACAGTAGTTCATGGTCGACTGTATCGAAAGCTTTACATAAATCAATGAAAATGCCAAGCAGGACTTCTTTCTTTTCAAGTGCGGTATATATTAGTTCTAGCATGTGTATGATAGCGGCATTTGTGCTTTTATTATTTCTGAATCCAAACTGACAAGGGTTTAATATGTTGTGTGAAACGAGGTAGGAATAGATCCATCTATGAATAAATTTTTCAAAGATTTTAGAGAGCAGTGGTAAGTTAGATATTGGTCTATAGTTATTCAAGTCAGCTTGGTCATCTCCTTTATGGATCGGAGTGACCCTCACTATTTTGAGGATTGTTGGGAAGGTAGATGATTCAATGGATACTTCAACTGTGAGGCAAGATATATAAGACATTATCAAAACAGACTAATATAAGAGGGTGCAGAACACTGAGAAATTCATGGAAATTGTATACTTAAATGAGTTGTATAAGATGCTAAAAAGCATTGTTTGTAAATAAATACAGTAATATTCTAGAAGTGGGAAGAGTGGAGTCAAAACAGTAACAAGCAGACACCATAACCAAATTCAAAGGCAGATTATTTAACTAAATGCAAATAAAGCCCAAGAGTTAGAACCCTAACTCTGTCAGGTAAAAACATGCACTTACACACACTAAAGTTGTGGGGAAGAGGGGTGAAGGCAGAAGCAACCACATATAGGCGAGTACATATAGATACACACACTGGCCGAGGTGGCAAGAAGAGCTCACTCGAGTAGAGCAAAGTTACTGGTTATGGGAGATTTCAACCACAGGGAAATCAACTGGGAAAACTTGGAGCCACACAGAGGTCCCAAAACATGGAGAGCCAAGATGATGGATGTGGTACTGGAAAACCTCATGCATCAACATGTTAAGGACACTACCAGAGAGAGAGGGGAGGGTGAACCAGCCAGACTGGACCTTGTGTTCACCATGAGCAGTTCAGACATTGAGGACATCACATATGAGAGGCCCCTTGGAGCTAGTGATCACATGGTTGTGTTTTGAATATGTACATAGTAGAGTTACAAGTGGAGGGTAACAGGAGTTAACATAAGAAAGGAGGAATGCTGCAGCAGGCCTGTTGGCCCATACTAGGCAGGTCCTTCACAATCCATCCCACTAACAAAATATTTGCCCAACCCAATTTTCAATGCTACCCAAGAAATAAGCTTTGATAGTTCCATTTACCCATGTGTGTATGTCCTACTCAAATCCAACCCCTCTAACTCATGTATTTACCCAACCTAAATTTGAAACTATCCAAGGTTTTAACCTCGATAATCCTACTAGGCAGACTGTTCCACTTGTCAACTACCCTATTTCCAAACCAATGCTTTCCTGTATCCTTTCTAAATCTAAACTTGTCTAATTTGAATCCATTACTGCAGGTTCTCTCTTGAAGGGATATCCTCAAGACCTTATTTATATGCCCTTTACTGATACCCATCTTCCACTTATACACTTCAATCATGTCTCCCCTCATTATTCATCTAACAAGTGAATGTAATTTAATTAAGGGTCTTCAATCTTTCTTCATAAGGAAGATTTCTAATGCTATGTATTAATTTAGTCATTCCACGCTGAATGTTTTCTAATGAATTTATGTCCATTCTGTAATGTGAAGATCAGAACTAAGCTGCGTAATCTAGGCGAGGCCTTACTAATGATGTATAAAGCTGTAATATAACCTCTGAACTTCTGTTGCTTACACTTCTTGATATATATCCCAGTAATCTTGTTTGCCTTATTACATATGCTTAGGCATTGCTGGCATGGTTTAAGGTTACTGCTTATCATAACCCCCAAGTCCTTTTTGCAATCTGTATGGCTAAGTTCTACATTATTTAACTTATGGACACTCCCGAGCTTCAGAACCTTGCATTTATCTACAATGAACTGCATCTGCCAATTTTCTGACCAGGTATTGAGTTTGTCTAAATCTTCCTCAAGTTCCCTGATACTGTATCTACGGCTGAATCAATTATCCTACCTATCTTTGTGTCATCGGTGAATTTGCTCATATCACTTTTAATTCCCTCATCAAGATCATTGATATATATTATAAACAACAATGGGCCCAAGACTGATCCCTGTGGAATGCTACTTGTTACAGATCCCCACTAGGATTTAACACATTTATGCACACCCTCTGCTTCCTGTCTGTGAGCCATGACTCGATCCATGAGAGCACTTTTCCCTCAATGCCGCGAGCTGCCACTTTCTTTCACCCTTAAACTGTCCAAACATAGATCTACGTTTTTTCAACATTTGAAAGTATGTAAAAAACAGAGATCTTCTTTTCTTTTTTTTTACATTTGAAAACTTGTAAAAAAAAACTTTGATCTACTTTTTTTTTGTTATATTTGAAAATATGTAAAAAAACGTAGATCTACTTTTGGAGCACTACACAAGTGAACGTAAATTTGTTTGGACAGTTTAAGGGTTAACAGTCTTTGGTGTGGTACTCTATTAAAAGCCTTACTAAAATCTAAATAAACAATATCAAATTCTTTATCGTGCTCAACAGCCTCAAAAGCTTTACTGAAGAAAGTTAATAAATTAGTTAGACAAGAACGGCCTCTCGTGAATCCATGCTGAGTGTCATTAATCAAATTATGCTTATCATGATGGCTTCTTATAATCTCAGCTATAATTGACTAGCAATTTGCTTACAATTGAGGTCAGGCTTATCGGCGGTAATTTGAAGGCAACGACTTGTCTCCTGCTTTAAAAATAGCAATTACATTAGCCATCTTCCACATATCAGACACTACACCTATTTGAAGAGATAAATTAAAAATATTAGTTAAGGTTCACAGAGTTCCGTTTTGCATTCCTTAAGAACCCTTGAAAAAAGCTCATCAGGACCTGGCGATTTATTTTGTTTCATTCGGTCTATTTGTTTCATAACCATTTCACTAGTGACTGTGATGTTACATAATTTATCTTTTTCAGGCCCACTATAAAAATTAATTACTGGGATATTGTTAGTGTCTTCCTGTGTAAAAACCAAAAGAAAATAATTATTTAAAATCTAGCACATCTCGTTCTTTGTCAGCAAGATGCCCATAGTTATTTTTAAGGGGCCCTATCTTATCTCTAACTTTT